TGAACCAACACTGCCATCCCTATAACAAAACCACTTTCTACATACTGCTAGATCTGACTTCTAATAGTTTGTTTTGTTAAACAAATTTCTATCTATGTTCATACTTTTTCCTTTTATTATCTTTATCCAGTTGTAGGATTAGCACAATGTTGATTTCCTAAAATGAGGGAAGAAGTGTTCCTTTTTTCTGCTTTAAATGTTTGATATAATTCATCAGTTAAAATGTATATAAGCTTATTGTTGTCATATAAGTAGGTTTTCAAGCTGGGAATATACTTTCTTTAGTAGGTGCTATTCAAGTTTTATATTTCTTCTAGAGTCAGTTTCATTAATTTGTCTTCTAAGATGCTTCATAGAAGTTATCAAATTCATTTCAAAAAAGATTTTTGTATTATGCTTTCTGTATCCTTTTAAATTCTGTAAAATCTGTGATAATGTCCTCTAAATCTTGATATTGTAATTTTTTAAAAATGTATAACTGATATTGTATAATAGGAAGAAAAGGCCTAAAGGAGTAGGGGAAGTGGGAATGATAGGGGAAAAGAAAGAAGGGAAAAGAAAAAATACGAGAAAAGGAAAACAATGGAAACAAAGTCTTTGTAAATAGGGAAGGAAGGGTGGAGGGTGTGAAGGGAGGGCAGGGGAATGGGGAAAAGAATAAGAACCAAGATACATCATGTAAAAGTACAAGATCCCAATGATGAAGGTAACTGTATTTTATACCTAAAATGTACCAGTAAACTTAATGGGGAAAAAACTGCTTTTGAAATTATCAGCATTAGCTTTTATAACCAGAAAATGATATATAAAATATGAAATCATTAATCAAAACATTTTTTGGATTATACAAAGTAAAAGTAAATATTGCTACATACCAGAGGTAAACGTTTCACTGCAGCAAGGTACTGAAGCAACCCTTTCGCATGGTAAATTGTAGGATGTAAATCTGGATTTGGACTTTGCCATTGTCTGTTCAAATCCTCTCCACTTAAAGAACAGCGGTGACTATATAAACAAGCACAAAGATTAAAAAACTAGTATCAATAAACTCTTATATACATTTATTATTTAATTTTGTGTCCTTACTCCTGTTAGCATTTCAAGTAAGTGTACACTGTGGGCTCAAATGAATGCACATTATACTCAATATATATTAAACATTTATTGAGCATTTGCTAGGTGTAAGACTTTGTGTCCTATATATGTAACTGTGGTAAGCTTTCAAATTTACAATCAAAATTTTCAAGCTATAGAATAAGATAATTCTCAATCCTAGGACTTTGTTCCATACTTTATAAAATTTATTAATGCTCACATTTTCCATTCTAACTAATCACTTGCTGTGCTAACATTCCATACCCTGACTGGATTATTTTGTAAAGTGATATCTGAGTGGTCCTTCTGAGAAAGACAAGTACATAAAAAGTATATACAGTACTTGTAAAAATGTAAATACATTTCATTTATTCACAAGTTCTAAATATTGAAATCATCTAGCAAAAATTTAAAACAATCAAAAAGTGCTAACAAATATATAAACACAATTCTAGTTGGTCAATATGTTTCTCATTTAAAAGAAAGACATCATTTTAGTTTCATAACCCTAACATAGTAAGAAAAAGAACTTCTATTCTTAAAAAATTCAAATATCTCCTGAAATATGAGAAAATTCATGCTGCTTAAGTAAGACATGGTATCTTTATCTCTGGAGCTGCTCATGGCAGCAAAAGTAAATCCCATCTTTCAGAATCATTCAGGGACTTTTACAAATGGCCAGGATATGTTCATTGTATTAGCTGAAGGGAACCTCAACTTAGAAAGTAATTCTCTTCCAGTATTTGCAAGCTAGAGAATTCTTTCTGTCAGAATCTATATCTCCTCCTATCAGGAACAGGTTAGTGGATGGGCCTAACATTCTATATCTGTGGAAATAAATCCCCAAAATTCTAAATCTTAAGCCAATCTAAGTTCATACCTTTAATAAATAAAAAAGAACACAGGAGGCAGGTGTTAACAATTGTTCTCAAATCGTAATAATGACTTTTCTGAACAATTCAGGCAAGACAGATTTCATGAAATCTTATTCTCATGGATACAGCATTCTTAAAATATCATATTATAACCAACATATAAAATATATTTTCATTTAAAAGTTTATCTGATATGAATTCATGAACAAAATTTCTTTGTTCTAGAAAAATCACTGGGTTTCCTTTCTGAATTGACCTGGATTCTATTACTTCACCAAGTTTATATAGGATAACCACATTCGTCTATAATATTTCAGTAACTATTACTTAACTTACTTTCCATTGATGACACCATCTGGATTTAGCATAGGAACAATTTTAAATATATAGGACTCTCGTAAGCTCTGAGCAGTAGGGTTATTACTCATGAGATATTCCAATGTTCCTTTCATAACCCAACTTGCATTGGTTTCTCCAGGATGGACCCGAGCAGATAAGAATACATACGGGCGACTTCCTAAAGTACACATAAAATCTCAAGTTAAAATGAACAGCTACTAAAAGTTTGTATAACATTTCACTTGGGGCTTTAAAAATGTCTCTTTTCAGTGAATTCTGCTATAAATTCACAGTGAAACTCAGTTTGTATGCACTATTTACAGTACAAACATTGCACTAAGCCCTATGGAGAAAACAAATACAAAAGCAATACAAACCATGTCCTGAAAGGAGCTTGATGTATGAACATAAAACAATAAAAAGTATTTGAGTACTGTCCTGTTTATTTCTCAATGATTAAACTAATATGTAAAATTAGTTTCTTAATGTAAACTTGATTTTACAAAGAATAAATAGTTGCCTAAGTTTAAAATATAAAATTATTTTCAAAACATCATGGGTAAAAGAAGGAACATAAAATTTTATTCCTATTTTCTCTACGATAAACACAGAGGAAAAAAAAACTACTGCTCAGAGATTTACCAAAAATTTTTTTCATTATGTTTAGGTATATAAGTCTATAAAACTATCATTCAACACATTACTTATGTTTTTGAACATAAAAAGCTCCTCTTGTTTCCAAAAACATACTTTATCTTCTTATCCATATCAGACACTGCATACAACTGCATCTTTTCCTGTCACACATATATTTATGGTAACTGAAAAATATACATGGCAGAGAAAAACCAACTGCTGTTCTGAGCTATCAAAACACTTGATAGGTTTCTGGTTGGTTTATTTTTAAATAAAATTGGCTGTTAATTTTTACATTAATGCATATCACCTGAACTCTTGAAACACTTTGTTGTATTCTACCTTGCACATGGATTCTAAGGATAAGACGAAAGAACAACAGTATCAAAAGACAGCTCCCTCTTTCAACATCCAGAAACTAAGGCCCAGAGCTGGGTCCATGGTGAGGCAGCAACAAAACCAGACTAGAACTCAGTCTTCTAAGGCCTGTTCTTAGCATTATTTTCATTCTAAAATATACAGAAAACAAAGAAAAAAAGTGTGAATGATTGGTATTTGAGTGAAGACAGACTTACTGAATTGACAGATATGCTCATAATAATTAGACTCTGGCACTGCGGTTATAGTCACCAAGGGACAGCTGTTTCCAGACAGGGTTTCACATAACACATCTTTTCGAAAATAGATTTGCTGAGGATTGTGTGCTGATTCCAATTTTTGAAGATGCATCTTGACAAAAATTTAAAAGCAAAGTATAAAATCACTTGAAAACTCTCTAAAATATATAGAAATAATGCATTCAGACCTACAAATAACTAGAACTAAACCCAATTCTTAAATTCTTATGCAAAACTCTTATGGACGAGCTGGGGATTTTCAGTGGTGCCACCTGCCTTGCAAGTGCAAGGTCCTGAGTTCGATCCCTGGTACCAAAAAAGAAAAAAAACAAAACAAAACAAAACTCTCACAGCCAGATGAAATTCAAACATTGGTATTTGGGAAAAGAGAAAGGTGATAAGTACATATACCATTAATTATGCAACACTATCAGCAGGGTCAGGGGCAACGACCTGTAAGAACTATTATTTCTGCAGCAAAACACACAAAAAGTGAACCTAAGTGGAATCAATATTCTACCAAAGCTCACAGGAGGACACATTTTGCTACCAATCTGAGTTATGAAAAACCTTTTAGATTTCAAAGCTTCTTGAATTTAAATTATAACTGACTATAGATCTGTAACAGCAATCTACAATGTAAAGAATGGAAATTAAATAGCACACATTTTTAAACTTCTTTTGATTTCAAAATTAATACAGCCTCATCATAGAAATCTGGGAGATACTAGAGCAAAATGAAACATTTAAAATATCGTTACTGAATAGGTTAAATATGTGTTTTTGAAAACACAGTTTTAATGATTTTATTATATGGCTGTGTCAAATATAAACTGCCCAATCCCTATTTTTGGACAGCTGGCTTTCAAGTTTTTATCTATGTTCCTAAACACAGTTGCTACTGACTTGTGAGGTCACTATTTGCCAAAAAACTTCAGGCATTGGGTTTGCAACAGTGAATAAAGAGATCTTGCCTGGGAAAAACATTGAGTGCTCTGAGAGCATATAATGAGCAGAGAGGAACCTAGCCAACGCTGAGCAGTGAGAAAAGAGGTTACATTTAAACTATTATCCAAAGTATGAGTGAAGGAGATAGAGACAAGTACTAGAGGCAGAAGAAAACTAAACCTAGGGAGGCCACAAGAGAAGAGAGAACAAGGGCACTCAAAGAATTCCAAAGACTCACTACAGCTGCTAGACCAGAAAGAGCAAAGGTGAACAAGCAGCAAAGAAGCTGGTGCAGAACAAAGGGCCTTGTAGACAGGATACTTCTGAAGCATGGTATACACACTGCTGCAACTGTGGTGGGTCCCGTAAAAAGTTTAGTAGATGTGTATTTGACTCAGAATTGGAAAAAAATGTCTATTACTGTACATTAAAACTGTAATTCCTTGGATATTAACTTAGGATGAGGATTGATTTTAAAGTGTAAAGTATTTTAAAGTCTATTTACAAATAAATATTAATAGTTCAAACAGTTTGTGGATATGGCAAAACATGAAAAATCAATGAGTCATGATGAGAATTTTAGGCTTCATAAAAAGAGAACAAGGAATCACTGAAGAATTTTAAACAGGGGATTTATATATGAAAATGGCCATAAAAGTGCCCTCTGCCACAGTGTGCAAAACCAGACCAATGAAGAAGAAAGGGGGTAAAAGTAAACCCGAGGACACCAGTTAAAAAGGGGTTGGTAGAAGTCTAGCTGACAAATGATAATGGGTAGAAAAGGCCGTGGTAGTGGGATTCGAAGAGAAAGCAATTCAAAATATACTAAGAAGGCAAGGTTAATAAAGAACAATAATATACAACCAGGCAAATAAAAATGTCCCAAAGATACATCTATATACATTCATAATTATTTTCCTAATATGCATTACCCCAAAATGGAGCTACCAAGTCATTAAGTACATATTCCAGTGCCACAGTATTCAGCACATGGATTCCTGAACATTAGACCTTTACTGCAGGTTATGACCGTTATTAAAATACACCAAGGCTCATTTAGAATTCTCAGCCTGATATCTCTCCTAATCTACAGACTACATTTTTTTTTCTTTTCCTCTCCCCTAATAGTTTGGAAGCTTGCTTCTAATTATATTGCTCCAATTTTTTTCTTGCTAAACTGATCACACATTCCTGATGCTTGGCCCCAGGATAACCCTTCTGTTCTGACAATAAATCTGCTACAGTTGGTCACTTAATTGGTCACTTGATTTAGTTTGTTTTATTTTATAAGGCAAATATTAAAAATCTCAAAACAACTCATACCCCATACTCTAAGGAATCAAGATCTATAATTCTACAATGAAACAATTTCCCACAAAATTGTTTTTCAGTTTTTCCAAATTACATCCACTTTTTCTATGGTTATTTTTTCTATGAGAGTCAATGCTTCTAGTTAAATAACTCAAAATCTCTGATAAAAACAAGTTAAAATCTGTAAATCATGGAATTTTAGCTTAAAGAACTGTAAATTTCTATCAAAGATGGGGAGAAAAATCATGTCAAATTTCCTTCATATTTCTTTCAATAAGGGCTGCATTCCCACCTTCTGCCCTTAAATTTTTCCAATAAATGCTGTTTCTGAAACCTCCAACACCAGACCCTTTCCTTTAAGATATTTAATTAAATTTTCTTCAATTCCCCAACACATAAGCATAATTTGCAGCAATAGTCATGATACAACTTAATTGGGAGTTCTCACCTGTAAAGTAGAATATGTATATGGATAGTGATAAGCGAAGTAGCAAACATCATCTTTATGTGGAAAATTGACAGTGAATGTAATGGTATAGTAAGATTTTCCTTTTTGCCCACCTGCAGCAACTGAACTTCTTGAGAAGTGATTTCTGAAATTGAAAATTGAAATTGAAAAGTGTAACATATGTTTATTTCATCCATTGCCATCCAATTGTCAAAACACAAACACAAAATACTCCATATAATAAATAATCCATAGTCTTTAACAACTAAGTAACAAAAAGAGAAAGGGGAAGCTTATAAATTTAAAAAATACTTCAGGAACCTATCAACAAAAATCAAATGTGATTATGATTATCAAAATTTGGGCAGATCTTAGCTGACAAGCCATTTTTTAAAAATTTTATTTTATTGGCGTATTTTAGGTATATAATATAATGACAGTCATCATTGGCAATTTGCACCTTTACATAATCTCTCTTGGTTCTTATTTTTCCCCCTTCCCCTGCCCTCCCTTCAACCCCTCCATCCCCCGCTATTTACAAAGACTTTGTTTCCATTTTTTCCTTTTC